TGTCAGATGAATTCCAGCCCCTGAATCAAAATTGACATCACTGAAGTTAATTTAGAGCAGGTGAGGATCTCACTGTGCTGGAGTTTTCATTCATTTTGATAGCACTATTAAGAAAATGACCCAGTGTCTGTGTCTGAATACCTGCTATGAATACTTAGTTGGCTTGAAAGCCACTTACATGTGGGGGTTTCATACAAAAAACCCCAACAACCAAAACCTGCAGAGCTCTGGACTTCCATCCCTACTGAATGTTCCTGACAATCTTGTACTTTATTTGGCTTTGTCTTAAAAGCCTTTTACTACTTTCCATTGAATGTCCACAGATGTAGATTGTTTGTTATTGCCTGATGAAGTAATCCAGTTTCAAAACACAGCAGGACAGAAAAGGAAAATGACAAAGCAGAGGCTTTCCACACCATACAGGAATGAAAACCTTTTAAAAAGGGAATTTTAATTTTTTATTCTTTGCTGTTGTCTCACATCACTACTTTAGTTTCTCTATTTATAACAGTTTATAGTTTTTGTACCCATTTATGTAAAACTTGAATTTAGAGTACAAACCTTTCCCAGTATCTTTATTTTCCCATCATATTTAAAGATTTGAGCAATTCACCTCAAAGCAGAAGGGGTCCTATCACAGTTCCTCCCAAACACCCTGACTGTGAGCCTTGAGAGTAATCACACTGCTCTGAGCCCTGCACACTAAGGAGAAAAATGCAGAAATCAGAGGAAATGCTGTGAATGAGAGCAAGGCTTAACCCAGAATCTACAAGGCCAAACTGGAGGCTGAAGAAAACTTCAGTTTTTTACTCAGAAGTCATAGGTTCCAAGTACCTCAGCCCTCTGATAAAAATCACAATCGCAGAAAGGTTTGTGAAAAACTGATCACTTTTTATTTATTAGCAGAATAGAAAAATAAGACTCAAAAAGTTTATTGCAGGCCAATCCAAAATAAACAAGGTTTGAGGGATTTCTTTGTCTTTGTTCATGGGTTTAGGTGTGGTTTTTGGTGGTTTGGTTTTTCTAGAACAGTTGTTTGGTTTTTAAATCTTCAGTGAATTTTGAAAGCAAAGCCAAAGTCTACTGTGGAAAACAAAAATATTTTATTTCTTCTTCAAGCAATTGTTTTTCCTTAATTAATTGAACACAGATGGTTTCACTCATAGCCAAACCAATTTAGAAATGAATTTTCTTTTCAAATTGAAAATTCAAAAGCTATTTAAAATATATTATGTTTCCCCAGAATGGAACAAATTCCAGAAATCAGAAAAAATATGTCCAAAATACCCTGACCACACCCAGAAATTTCAGCACCGTTTAAGACTTCCACTGCAATCTTTCACCCAATTAGTACAATTAGAGTAAGGGAAAGCAAGCAAACCCTTAACTCATCACCACATACAGTCTGATCTCCATGGTGTCATTGCCTATCATTAATGCCTGCAGTCTGCAAGACAAAGGGCAGAAGCTGTTCATCCAGAGCCACCTCAAAGCTTCCCAGCAACACAAGCACAGGCAAAACTGAGCTTTCTTACTGCAAGAAGAAAAGGCCAGGACCAGGCTGGGCTGGTTCTGCAAGAGGAAAAGGATGGGGTAGCAAATACACATCACAAAACCCTGCTGTGGCTTCTAGGTGCTGTTACAGCAGCAGCCTCACAGTACATGGACCTTAGAGAATTCTTCCTGATGAGCTTCTACTCTACAGATCCAGAGAACAAACAAAACACAATGGCAGCTTGTGATCACCTCTATTCTTGTGTCTCCCTTGCTCCTGCTGCAAGAATTCAGTGTGGGCACATCCAGCCAGGTGATTGGGGATGTCACTGCACACTGTGACGCACACTGCACACTAGATGAGCTGATTTCCTTTTATTTCTACTCTTCTCCCCTCACATCTTACCAAAGCAGCACAGTTCCCAACACTTCAACAAGAAATAAAAACAAGGAATTCAGTGAATGGAGAACACAAGAGGAAAGACTGACAGAGAACACCACCAAAGATAAGGAGAACTTCACAAGAGTTTCTCTTGAGGTTATCACTGAGAAGAGAAGGCTCTGGGGACCCCTCATTGCAGCCTTCCAGTACCTAAGAGGGGCTTATAAAATAGTTACTTTTTATATGGGCAGACAGCAACAGAACAAGAGTGAATGGTTTTAAACCAAAACAAGGGGTATTTAGATTACATGCTAGGAGAAAACACGCTGAGGGTGGTGAGGGACTGAAATGTGCTTCCCAGAGAAGTTGTCAAATATTATCTAGAATAGCTATTTAAGTCCTCCATGCTTCATGATATGGACCAACCAGCAGCATTCCTTGCTGAGGAGGAAATCCCCACTGGTGTGACAGGATGAATTGTAGCTGCTTCTACACTTACATTGAAGCATCTGTGTTGGTCACTGCTGGCAAAGAGTCAACAACCACAGGCTCCTAAACGGTGACACCTGCTGCTCTCTGATTATAATTAAGTACCTTGTTTTTACAGGTACTACTCACTCTGGAAGGACAAAACCTGCAAACTTTCCCCTCTACTATCAAAGAATCCCAGAACCTATTTTTCAAAAGCAAATAGTAAAATCCTTTCTTTGAACAAAGATTATAGATCATTGAAGCTACTCATTAATTTCCCTCTGTGGCTCTAAGACATAGTTTTCCCCAAACCTTAATCAATTGTGTTCTGTATTACAAACACCAACTAACGCAATCAGAGCCAAGCCAGAACAGATTCTTTGTGCATTTCCCCCCTAGCAACCACTGTCAAAGCTGAGACAATGATGTTCTGCTAATTTGCCAATAATTTATACAGACACCACTAAAATGTGCTTAATCCTCAAAGAGATTCAGATGCTTGACTCCAGATTTCAAAGAAAAGCATGCAAATGCAGCAATAAAATGTATTCCATTTAATCAAGTGAACACATAACAGACTGATTCACATTATTTTATGGCATCAAATAACAGTTTTCTAATGTGATTCCATGTGGAAGAAAAGGGGGAGGTTGCTGTAAGTATATTTTGGCAGAGCACTAGAAGAGGTCACACATAGCTGACTTTTTAGTGAACAGTTAAAGGCTTCCAAAATTTGTTTCTTATGGGAAAATGGAAACTTCCCCTCTCTACTACATCTTTAACAGAAAGAAATTAATAGCAGAAGTCAGCTCAAATATTTCAGTTTACACTTGCTTAATTCTTGGAAAATGCAGTTTTCTTATTTTAAGGTAAATAAAGTCTACAGTATTTGTTGGCTTCCACTATGTTAGCACTGCACCGGATACACCATTAGACTGCCTGGGAGAATGTTCAACACCATAACAAACCATTTGGAAGTAGAGCCGAGAAGAGTCATACAGCAAAGTCTGTGACAGCTGTCAAAAAATGCCATTCCATTTTATTTGGAACATATAATGGAAAGAGAGGGGAACCCAATGAAACCTGTGCGGTATTAAGTCAAATAAAATATAGTTCATAAAAATTAAGGCATTTCTGCATTACAGGGATATGGGTCCAGTAATAAAAAAAGAAATGGTGTTCTGGAGCATGAACTGTAATTATGGCTGAGACAACATATGGAGAGGGAAGGGGAAAAATTAAAGGAGATGTAGACAAATGCAACTTGATGGCAGTGAAAAGCTCTACTCATTACTGATGACCAGCAGTGTTCAGGAAAGGTTGCAGTGCCACCAAACATCTCAAGTCCAAAATTTCAAATATATTTTTACTTTATTTTATGAATGTCCATCGGATAGATATCTTTGATGCTACAACACACTAGTTGAATAAAAATCAACAACATAAAACCCCTCATCATAAAAGATTCAAGAAGTGAAATCCCAAAGCCATAACCATTTACTCTGTGAGCATATCATCTTTGACAACCATATATAAATGACATCATGACAACAAATACAATGTACAATAATAAGTGTGCAATGGTACAAAATATACAAAAAGGAATGTGTATTTAATATACATTCAACATTACCCCATAAAAATCTTTTTTGGGAAAGTGAAGTGCCTTTTCAAGACCAACAGAAAATGTACACCACTTCAGTTAAGATGCCTGAAGGATCTCCCATCAAAAGAGTAAAGTGTGTTCTTTGACTGGAACTACAAAATAACGGAGCTGAATTTTCCCTAATGAAAAAAAATCTAAACTTCATAAAATTTTTGTTCACATCTAGAGTATAATAAAATATTTAGAGTGCAGAAAATTCAGTTTAATTTAAATTTTACTTAAAAGTGGGCCCTCTTTTATTGATAGACCTAGCTCAGTCATATAAAATCAAAAATCTATATTCCTTATAGTAAAAAGACTATTTCTGCCCATGTCTCTTTTCTTGTTTTGATGCATTCCACAATTCACATAAATTTGCTGTAATGGAAATACGAGTCTGACCAGAGGTCAGTGCAAGAATTGCAACTCAATTTCTCTGGCTCTGTACAAGTCTTACATAATTTTACTCAAATATTTTTTGCCTAAGTTTCAGATTCCTTTGAGTTCAACCTCGGAGGGAATTTCAGGAAATTACTACTGTGGATATTATGAAGATCATATGCCTATAATGTGTCTGACTGAACGGAAAAGTCCACCCAGCCTCCAGTTTCCATGGCACCACTTTGTGCCTTTCTTCCATAGCTACTACTTGCACTGACACAGGATGCATTTAGATGCTGTGCAAGTACATAACCCATGCTCAGCTCTGCTGGACATTCATCCATCCATCCATCCGTCCATTCCTCCACTCATCCATCCATCATCCATCCATGAATCCATGCATCTATCCATCCCTCCACCCTTCCACCCATCCACCCATCCATGCATCCACCCATCCACGCATCCATCCATCCGTCCATCTGTCCATTCCTCCACTCATCCATCATCCATCCATCCATCCATTCCTCCACTCATCCATCCACCATCCATCCATGAATCCATGTATCTATCCATTCCTCCACCCTTCCACCCATCCATGCATCCATCATCTATCCATCCATCCATCCATCCATCCATCCATCCATCCATCCATCCATCCATCCATCCATCCCCCTTCCTTGTGTGGGCCCAGGACTAAAGGAGGCTGGGTATTTCTAACAAACCTCCCAACTGACAGAGCTGATCCCTGATTCCCAAAAGTAGAGATTTTTGCTGTACCTCCAGAATTCAGGCTTTGCTGGTTCCCAGCCCTGGGAAAAGTGACATTTACACAGCCCAAGGGAGAACACTGAATCTGCCAAAGACCTCTCTTGAAAGGAAAAGCTTCCACAGAGAGGGTCAAGTGCAGCTTGCACTGCAGGTACCACTTTACATCATTTTATAGAGTTTGAACCTGCTACTGCCTACAAACTCATGGGCCCAGACCTACAATTCACACAACAGCTGTTACCAAGTTTAAATTCAATAGCACTAGGTTTTACTCCAACCCTGATGGCCATGACTTAGGCACCAGATTGGGTTCAATTTGCAGGTGCAACATAATTCCTCTTGCATTAGAGGTCAACACAGACCATCCAGACCTTCAAAGCATTAAAATCAAAAGTATTTTCCAAAGTTCAAAACTCACCCAAGGCTCATTCTGAGTACCATTCAAAATTTTGATTTCCAGAAAGACTCACAGTTATGCCAGTAAACAACAACACACAACCTCTGCAGGAGGTTGCAGGCCTCTCTGAAAATAATTTCTTAGGAATATGCACAGGAATGAGAAGGAAACGAAAGGTACCTATAAATCATATGGCATGCCTGAGTGTTGCCCAGGTGAATGCAAAAAATTCATGTTATTTGCAGTATGTATATCTCTTCCTGAGTTGAATTTCATTCCCAGTATGGAATCCAAGAATCTGCTTTCTTTTTTTGGCAAGGTACTCAATCACATGGTAAGGCAATCCAATTTTCTGGTTTGCTTTCTGTCTTCTTTCTTCCTAAAAGGCCAAGCATTTCTCACCAAGATCACCACTATAATGTGTGCCAGAATATGTTTAAAATATAGTCCTGTAAAAATAGAAATTAGGTTTGTTCCTTTGAAGGCAGCATTAATTCTTCATATATTCTGGGATCTTGAAGATTTCAGCTGAACAGATTCAAAATTATCTTCCTTTTCCTGCAATGGAAAGACAGGTTCCCATCAACTGGATTTCCTCAAAATCTCTCCAGCAGTCAGCAATACCACTTCTTTCAATATCCTTTGCCAAAAACTTCACTTTATTTTTACTATGGTAATTAAGTGCACAGTTTGACTTTTTATTATTTAATAATATTACTAATTCTGTAAAAATTTGCAAAACCAGTAAAATTATGCCATAGCTATTGTTCATGGTACTTATTTTAGAGGGTACAGGAAAAGTCTGCATTTCATATTCACAGAATAGGACAGGTAGTCTGAGCTGGGGAATTGCAAGGTAATAATCTCTATCGTTATTATCACTTATTAATGTGTTCCCTGCAATATATAAAATTCACAGCATGTGAGTGTGAACACCACTTCCTTGCTCCTGGATTCCAATCTCAACAACTCCTCTGGGAGACCCACATGACAAAACATCAGTTTCCTTCTTAAAAAAACAGGACTAGAGAGTTGAGTTTTCTCTCTGTTTTCATTTGCTGGGTGACAGCCTTGGCCATTTGGCCAGCAGGCATCAGGGTGAGTGAGAAATGTGGTTATACACACCCAAATAATCTGCAAACTCTCTTGAACTACCATCATAATCTGATTTTTAAAGCTCTCTCACACAGATCAGGACAGCCTGGTGCACACAGGAGAAAGAAGGGGAGAAATTGTCCTATGCTACTCTAATGAAAAATATATGTTCTGAAGAGCCTGGTACTGTCATGCTGGAGACAACAGACACAACCAGAACAGCCCCCAATCTGAAACAGGTTTGTAATTATTTGGCTTATATCTTTTCATTAAAAATAAGCCATCCCTTTCTATGTTACAGTTCTAGCCCTCAATCCCTTGGGTACTCAAACCCACTGATATCTTTGTGACATGCTGGCAGAAATGCCATAGCCTCAAGCTTGAACATATAGTTAGGATACTGCAGATTTTCATTCTCTCTCATTTTACATTTCTCCTTTTTCTCCCCTGTTTTCCTCCATATATTTTTGTCCTGTATTTTACATGCATATGTAGCAGGGCATGAATTTCTTCATCTTTTGCATAAATGAAAAGCAATGCCTATAACATTTGTTTTCAATAAATATATATTAAATTTCAGTTATCTGCAGGGGTACAGGACACAGAGCTGAGAAAGCTAATGAGGTACTGGAAGTTGAATTTGCCAGCTATTGTTATCTAGCAGTAAAAAAAAAGAACAAGCTCAGAAATATCTGACAAGCTTGTTGAAAAAGGAGAGAACACTCAGGAGGCCTGCTACAGTGGATATAGGAAAATTAAAAAACTCCAAGTAGGCTTCAAGTTGTCTGAATACTGAAGTACTAAAGCTTAATTATATTTTTTGCAACATCATCAGAAAATTTTATTTGATTTGATTTTATTTACATCTTCAATATTCTCAATATTGAATTAAGAATTAATATTGAATTTCTGCCCCTTTCCACAAGGAAAAATATTGATTTTGCAGGATAAATAGCCAGGCTGGGGTCAAGGGAAAGTTCTGCACATTATCTGTGCAATGGTAACTTCTCCTAGGAGGGATATCTGAAGAGCAGGCAGTGTGGCAAGAGGACACCAGTCAAACAAAAAAATTAAAAGAATGAAGAGAAGAGAATAATAATGAAAATAAAGGCAGCACACAAGCTTTAATTATATTGCACTCAATCACAGAAAGAAAAAAAAAGATATAAAAGAGATACAAGGAAAAATAAATCTCAAAATTCAACATTCTGAGGTATTATTTGGACAATAAATTGGAATACAATGTTTTTAAATTAATTTTTGTTATGATCTTTTAAGAGACTAAGAAACTGACTTCAACAAAACTGTTTGAAAGGGAAAATATAATTTGGCTTTATCCTGATCATAACAGATGCCCCCACTGGAATCCCTTAAAGACAACACTACCCTTTCCACAGCACAGATTTCAAGCATTTGGAAAAAAGAACAAAGAGCTTTTGGGATCAACCATGATGGTCCTCAGTGGCTCCTCTCAGAAATGTTCAAAGGACACCAAAGACTTTGGTGCTGTCAATTCAGACATGCAACAATCCACATCCCATCTACAGCAGTAAAAAATGCTTTTTTGTGTTGCTTCCCACTGAAATGAAGGAGGCTGCTGTGTTGGGCAACAAGATGAAGCTGATGCTTCCTGTTCAACTGCTTCCTACTCAAAATTATGGTTCTCCAGTCAGCCATGAAGCCAGCCCAGGTGAGCTGCAAGCAGCTGGCTGGTGGCTGTGCTGCCAGGGTTAATTTTTTATATCTCTAATAGCTGTGTTTGCCTCAGCAATGGATGTGCCTGGGAGGATTCCAGGCAAAAAGGTTCTCTCTGCCATTAATTGTTTTTTTTCTAGTGTCATCCATGTAATAAAAAATGCTACTGAAATCTCTCTGTGGAGGAAAGAGCATTTACCCCAAACCCTACAACAATTCTTAATTTTATGCAAACTGTAGATTTCAGCTGTGGACTGGATGGGGTGTGCATGGGAGTAAATGCTACTGAAATCTCTCTGTGGAGGAAAGAGCATTTACCCAAAAACCCTACAACAGTTCTTAATTTTATGCAGACTGTGGATTTCAGCAGATCACTGTGGACTGGATGGGGTGTGCATGGGAGGCTGCACTGCTGTGAAATTAGCATCAAAGACTCATCACATCCAGTAATAAAAAAAGGTAATAATTATTTTTGTATTAATATTGGTAATTACTACTCACCTTTGTTGCCAAGGATTTGAGCTTCCCCAGCAGTGACTGCTTATTTGAATATACTATTTCTTCTTCATTATCTTCTCCTTCCATTATAGCACAGCTGTCAGCAGCTGGCAGTTCACACTCTTTTGAGTTCGTTGTCATCACTAATTTGGAATATTTATACTCCAGCCTGAAGATATAAAGCCACACAGGAATAGATTTTTTTTTCTCAAATGTCCCATACTCAGGGGTTTGTCATTTATATTGTCTGCAGTCCTCCCACATAGTTACTTCTGAGGTAGTGGAAATTAGATAGTTTTCAATCATTAAAAATATGTAATCAAAATAGTATTAACAATGCACTGAGCTCTTGCTGTCCACTTAGTCCTCCATCCATATAAAAGAACCATGTTTTCCCACAAGACCAAGGGAAGGTCAAGAGTGCTTTCTGCATGAAGAAGTGGTGTCTGGGGCAACAACCAAAACAGAACTAAGAAATATGGTCAAGAACCTAAATTTTTACCAAGCTGAAAGGGACTAATTAGACTAAAGATACCCTTTTGGTCTCCAGAGCTTAAGAAAGCCATGTTGCTTCAGAAATTAAAGTCAGCTTCAAACTCTCAAGGGTCAAAAAGACAGTTCCTGTTTGGAAATTTTGCCATTGCAAATTACTGTGGATGTTCTACACTTTCCTCACTGCAATTTTTTATAGCCACTGTTGACAGAAGAAACATCAAATTGGTGCATTAATTGATTGATCCCACAAGGTACTGCTCATCAAGAGTGTCATAAATGCAGGAAAAGTCATTCCATGCAGCTTTTAGCAAACTTTTCTATGGAACACAATTTGCAGTACTTACTTCTGGTTCTTCTTCCAAAAGTAGCAAGTCAAGGCTATGAGCAGAACAGCTGTGAAAGCACCAACACCAGCTCCAACTTTAAGCCAAAAATCCACTGTTTCACAAGTGCTGGTCCTTTTTTCTGGCAAGGAAACTCCTTTAATACAATGCTTTGGCTCATTCCATACATATAAGGTTTCCTTTCAAACAGAAAACACCAAAAAGTGAGCTGCTTGTAGGAAAGGAGGGAACTATTTAGACTTACAGAAAACAAGCTGTTCTGAGGTAGAAAGGTCAGATAACTTTTCAGTGAAAGCAAACCAAAACACATCCTTCAGGCTTTCAGACTTCAGGTTTTCAGTTATATTGTCTAATCAGTCCTCCCCTTGCTTGTGCCTGCAGGTTCAGGCATGGCAAAAGGATTTCTTCCCCTGTACAGGCCTCCACATGACACAATATGGGCTGGACAGCTATTGGGAATAAGTTGTGGAGTACAGGAGCTGTTGATCAACAGGAGAGTTTGAACCTGTGGAAGAACTTGCTAATATTTGACTAGAGAATGCAGCAGCAAAAACATTGCAAGCAAGTAGGATGAATTTATGAACTGACATTTAGAAACCTTTTCTAGCCTGCCTCTGATGTTTATGGCTATGAAACAACTGAAGTTTTTTGGGCACTCCATCCTTCAAAAATAACTGTCCTGCAAGTCTGAATGCATTGAGAGTTCACATCCTTACTCACACAGCTGGTCAGCACAAACGAGCTCTCTTGCAGGAACCACGCTGCCATTGACACAAACATTCCTGAGTCTCAACACAGCTCCTCCCTCAGCTTGCACCCCAACCAGCTCAGAGCCTGGGCTGAAATCTCCCAACCCACTCACAGATCAATCTGCACACCAAATCTCTCTAAGAGTCTAAGTTATACCCAAATGAGTCCATTTGACTTCGAGACCTGGGTCCTGTACCTGGAATCCTTTTTTGCAGGCTCCCTCAATCTCATGGTAGTCTTGCTCTGTGCAGAGAGGACAAGCTTCTGCACTTTCCCATAGGAAGTAGAAAGTGCATCCATCACAGGTGCCCGCAGGGCAGGAGCTACAAGGAGAGCAGAACTCAGTTATCAGTCATAAAAGAAACAATCTGGGGTTTGCATCCTCATCCACCTGCTGCTGAAGATTGGGAATGGGAAGTATGAGAAATGGGTAAACATCCATCAAGTTAGCAGATGGAAGAATCTGGGGGAAGAATTTTTCCTGGTTTGTAAAGTGCTTTCTCATGTGAAAACAGGTGTTGAGCTTTCAACAGAGACAAGGCAGGGGCAGAGGAGAGGAGAGGAGAGGAGAGGAGAGGGTGTTACTACACCAGTGTTTCACCAGCCCAGCACACACCTCCATCATTATTCTCCTGCAAAGGGTGGCTGTTCCACCTGAATGCTGCTATCTGGTTCCTGCCATTGTTCTAATGATGTCTGGGTGATTTAGTCCATATGGAATGGACTTGTCCTGTCATGGTTAATTACTAGAAGGATGTTCACCAGTTAATGAAGAGATAACAGCTTCTCTTACTCCAAGAAAAACTAATGGCCTATTTTGTATTCAGCCTGCAGAAGGAAGTTGTACTGGCAGTGGCAGGACAGTCACACAGATTTTGTTACTGACAATCACATCAGGTCTAACAGCAGCAATGGCCAAAACCCATGCAAGAAGTTTGGTCATGTAAATATGAAATATATTCATGCAGAAAAAATATATTTAAAGTTGTGTTGTTCTATATCATCTGGAAACCTGATATCCTGATCTGAAACACTGAAAAATCCCCAGCCCTAGAAGCACATTCTGGCTTATCCAGATTTAAATACCTGACAACAGGTACATTCCTTTGTGAATTATGGAGCATTTTTCCAACCTACATGGCAAGAGCACTGACAGACCTTTCTCCTCAACTGCTTTCATCTTATACTGCAGATTCATGTGATACTAAACACCATGCTAGGAGGATCAAGGAGTTACATGATTTGACATATTTCTGATACCTCACTGTGTGAAAACAGCTGACTGCTGAGCTAGTCAAAGGGGGATAGGAAAGGAGAAGCCAACATGGACTGGGATAAGGTACACATGTCAGCTGTGTGCCATTTCTGTCTGTGCTCACACTTTCAAAAGCAAGGTAGGCTGCTCCTCCCTCACTACTGGTGCTTTTTCACAGTTCCCATCATGTTTATCCTGTGGCACTGGAAGAACAACTGAAGAATCTTCATGCAGAAGCTGATAGTGCCTTACAGCCCAGCATAATTTGTAGTAGGACAGGTCCCTCAGAAACTGGGGTAAGCATCTCCAAAGGTGTTCAAATACCAATCATTCATCCATCACCTGTGAAGTAGACTCTACTTGGCCTTCTTTCAGGCAAGCACAGTCTGTGTGTCATGAGAGAGAGGGATACCAAAGGATCCCACACTTCTCACACTGCTCACTTGTGGGAAGAGGACTCAGCTTTGGGAAGGAGGAGGAGTGAGAGCTATCAGCAGATTTGTAGTGACATCCAGACAGACTAAAATGAGCCTTGATAACCAAAGAGGAGGGTTATCAGAGTTGAAGGAAGCTTCTGAAAAATCACCGTGTGTTGCTAAAACGTAATAAAATTGAGTATTTTACTGGGTTTTTTCTCTGCAGGTTTTTAATCATGTTTATGCCTTAAATTATGTTTATGAAGACATAAACAGGATTTTGGAAGAAAGAAGCTTTTTTAAGTCCCTCAAATCAGACTGAAGGGAAAAAAAGTCAGGCAAATTAAACACAACTGGTAAAAGGCAGCCAGGATACAGCAATGAAACACATAAATAAATATATTCTAAACATAAAATAGACAGAGCTCACACAAGCATTGCAATAGCAGCTTTCAAAGTTCCTAGAATAGGTTAGCCTTTTCAAAAAAACAATCTTCACTAGCCAGTGCTGTAGATCAAGGAAGAAAAACTACCTCTCAAAGCCTCAACTAGACAGTTTAATCAGAAGGCCAAAGATTAAAATAAGGAATTGAAATAAAGGAGAAGTGAAGACAAGAAAACATCACTGCATTTTCTCTTGCATTTAAGCTCAGAACAACCTGCCACACAGCCTAAGCACAGATCAGTTGGTCTGCTGGAAGCTGATGGACACCTAGGAAAAACAAGTGACTGATGAGGGAGAGAGCACTCCTCATTGCTATTGTAATATAAAATTACTAATGAGTTTTGTAAGGATTACCTGAGGAGCAAAGGTTTTTTGGTACCAGTAGGACACAAAAACTGAAATACCTGGGCACAGAAAGCTCTCCTTGGCCTGGTTTGTTGGGGTTGCATCTCATTGTCACAACAGTTGCACGGCCATTCTCACAGGAGGTTGTCACTGTTGAAGACCTAATGTCAAACAAGAGAAGAAAAGCAACATATTTCCACTACATAAACTGGATATTACTAGTTCATAGATCTGTAAACACTCATGCAGCTGCAATACTAACAAAATATCCTTTATCACAATGCTTTTGACTTTTCCAGGTGGAGGAAAAAAAAAAAGGCAACAGAATCAGGGTAGGCCTCACCAATTCATTTAAATCTCAAAGTGCTCTGAGATGCTACTCAGGGAACTGCTCTGGTTTTCTAGCTAGTTTGGAATCTGCTGCATCAAGGAGTGACAAAACAGAACAGAATGATTGAAAAGGAAAATAACAGGTGCTGTGGTTGGTGTGTTACTCTGCTGGAGAGGCTCTGATGGCTCACTCCCAACCTGAGAACTAAACTGTCCTGAAATAGCACAGGGCAAAGGGGATTAAAAAAAATCTTATTCCAGCATGATAGACATTGTCCAAAGTCCTATATTCAATTAAGTCCCAGCTTAGAAACACAGCTGACATGAAGACCAGCATGTAGACATCTGAACTGAGCTGATCTTTGAGCTACTTCCTCCCCAAACTCAGGCATTCTTTCTGTGGAGAAGAGGGAAGAATGGGAAAAGCATACTAGTAACTGTGCATGTTGAAACAATTACTTTTAATCTCGATTAGTCCTTTTTTTTTCCAGCATCAAAGTAAACACAAATGAAAGTGAAAGAAAATATGCAAGCAGAAGTGGACATTTCCAAGTCATATATGAGGAAATATGGAAAGTACCAGGACATTGAAAGTGGCATGTGGATGAATCAAAGCTCTGGGATCACTTCCTATGGATCAAGCCTAATTTAGATTTGAGTAAAGAATGTTTGCTGACTTCATATGATGATCTTCAAAATGTCAATCAATATTAGGCAGGTACTGATTAAACTGGCAAAGACTAAAGGTGGGTTATAGATCCCCCCCGCCCCGTTTTACTTTCCTCTAAACAAATGAAGACATCTGACATAGCAATAAGTAGCACTTTTTACCTACTTGTAAAAGAAATGCACATCTGGTATTTTGCTTGGAGAGGAAGGAAACACATCTGCCTTGATGCTGATATTTTCCAGCACTGTTTCAACAGTAGCTCCTAAAATTTAAGAAACAAAAAAAATTAAAATTTAAAAAAAAGAAGGAACTTATTAATGGATTTTTGAGGGATCCATGTGTAATATTTTCTCAGTCAGAAAGGTGTGGATCTCACTTAATAACATTTAATGGCATTGCTGTACATTACACACACCTTCTAACTAAACTTTGCAGATATATATGTTTCTCATACAGACTGATTTCCTCATGCAGACATAGCAAAATAAAAAAAGTTAATAAAACACCTGTGTAAATACTTATTACTCTTTTATATTAATTTAAAGCAGTCACTGGATATTAAAGAAACATTAAATAATTTAGGCTGGCAAAGAACTGCTGAAGGTATCTGATGCAACCCATCAGAGCATTTGCCTTGAGTGTACAACCCTCACACATCAAAACCATGTAATGACCTGAGCAATTTGCAGTACTTTGAGATATGAAATAACAAGAATCAGAAGGATTATGGAATCATAGGCAAGCCTTGATGGCACATTTTGGAACAAATGACAGGCTGGTGTATGAGCTACGTGGATTTTGAGCAAAAGCTGAAAAGGAAGAAAAGTGCAAGTAATCAAAGAGAGAGAGATCTTTCCAACCCCATAAACCAAAGAAGACAGAAAATATCGGTGCTCCACTGCAACATTTCAGACGAGGGAGTTGTACAAAGGGGGCTGCATACTTCCCAGGAGTTAAAAATTGACAGAACAAGAAGTGGTAGTGGTCAGAAACTGGTGAAAAGGCTGAAAAAAATTAGTTGTCCATTTGTTCTTGAAACAGTTTATAGAATCACAGACTAATATCATGGTTTGGGTTGGGAGTGACCTTAAAGATCATCTTGTTCCAAACCCCCTGCCCTGGGCAGTGACACCTTTCACTAGACCAGGTTGCTCAAAACCCTGTCCAATCTCTTCTTGAATCCTTCCAGGGATAGGGCAGCCACAGCTTCTCTGAGCAACCTGTGCCATTGTCTCACCACCCCCCCAGGGAAGAATTTCTTCCTCAGATCTAATCTAAAGCTACTCTCTTTAAGTTTGAAGCCACTCCCCCTTGTTCTGTCACTGCACACTCTTGTAAAAAATCCCGCTCCAGCTCTTTTGCAGCCCCTTTAGGTACTCTAAGATGCTCTAAAATCTCCTTGAATCCTTCTCTTCTCCAGGCTGAACAACCCCAGTTCTCTCAGCCTGTCACCCCGGAGAGGTGATCAGCCCTCTGACCATGTTTTGGCCTCCTCTGGACTCACTTCAGCAGGTCCACATCCTTGCTATGTTAGGAAAGGCAAACTTCAACCATTTAAAAATTTAGCAACTGAGATAAAAAAAGGCACCAGAAGAGTCTGACATCTTTTTTGTTGCATAAGGAAAAAGTCAGGACTATCTCCTTGTTTTTCAATACAAAGACTGCTCTCATTCGTCTAGTGGCAGGAGACAACATTAGCATTTACTGGCATGAATGTTTGTGAACTAGAAACCCATACCTAAAAGTGACATTTAACAGAGCTTTTGATGGCAGTGAATTATCAAAAGACTCATGGAGAGTGGATATGGTGACCTGAATTACAATGTGTCTCTCACAATGAGATAAAATAATGGTAATGGAAAATGGGTTTCAGTTCATGGACAGATGCACAATGAGAGAAAGTCAACAAGAATTTATGGAGAACCTCTTTTGTTGAACAAATCTGATCTCATTCCTTGAGTGCTGATGAACTTGGTTGCTAAAATAAAGTTATGTAAATTTATCAAGTATTTCACTAATTACCACATGAGGTTCTAATTAAAAAGTTAGCAGTGTACTATCAATTAAGCGCACACTCTGCATTAAAAACTATTTAGCTAAGTCATTATAAAATTATCTGGCCGTGGGAGATTGTCATCAAACGTGGAATGTCTCCAGGCTTCTCTAGGCATCGATGTTGAAGTGTGAAAATGCAAGATTAACATCATGGATCTGCAAGTAACTATAATCCATGTCAGTAAAGTGTGTAGATGAGACAAAGATTAAGAGGATTAAAAATAAAATGCAGAGCAACTTGGTTGCTTCATTCACTTAGTAAGATGGTCCCAAACAAACTCAATATAAGATATATAGATATAATATAATACAAGTGCAGCAGGAATTGAAGGCCAGTCATAAGAAAGAGAGATTTTCCCTTAGAAACTGTAACTTTGAAAAAACATCCAGAGTGGGCATGAGATCCAAGAAGCCATCATGAAATCCCTTAAGTTTAGAGAAAGAAGGATGCAGGGATTCCAAATACAAAAGTGATTTTTATTGCCATTATAGCAAATGAAATACTGGAATACTATTCCATTTCATACTTTAAAAAAATATAAAAAGTTACAGGTGTAGAATGAGCCTCAAAAGTTATTTAGGTGCTCAAAATAAATACATGATAGCAAGACAATTAGAAGAACTCGGTGTACTTAGTTTATCAGAAGGGTATAACAATTCCCGTATACAAAGTATTTCCTGAAGAAGGAAAACATTGGTGTGATGTGAAGGAAGACTAATAAAGAGCTGAAAACTGAAGTCAGGGATATTCAAATAGAATACAAGCCTGCTTTAAAAACAAACAGAGAGATGGTGTTTGACCAGTGGAAAAAAATACCACTGACTGTGGCAAAGTTGTTATTTCTGGAAGTCTTAAAAGTCCAGGTTGAATGCTCTTCCAAAGATGTGCTTTTGTCAAACATAAGTTTCTGGGCTCAGTGCCAGGGAGAAAGTACAAACACTCGGTGCCTGTAATGGATAGGTGAGCAGACCAAATGACTTCATTGTCTCATCTGGCCCCAGCTTCTGGGAACTTGTGATCTGGACCAATGTAAAACTTAATGATGTGCACAGCCACGTGCTGCCCTAAGCCTCCTGATTCCTTGTCTAATTATGTCCCCACATCAGTTTCTTCTTCTAAAATTGGCCAAGTGGGATCTTGGCACAGGCAGAAACACTTGGACTAATGTGACTATCACAGTCATTGGTCTTGCCCTGAGTGAGGTGGGTACAGAACATAAAAGCAAACCAGTGCTTTTTAATTACATTCTCCAGATTTTTGTGCTGAAATGCTATGCACCATGAGACCCACCCGACCAAGCACAAGGAAGTGCGAATAACACAGAAAGAGAAAACTAAAAATGTGCACAGCCCTTACTTTTCCTCTCCAGCCATCAGCTGAACTGAAACATCAGCAAAACACAAAGGCATCTGTGCAGAGCTGCTTCACAGCCCAGGAACCATCTCAGACTGATTTTGGGCTGCGTCTTCACCCTTCCCTCAAAGTAATGCAGCTGCTGAGCCAGGAAGGAAGGATTTACTCTGCAGCCCTGAATACATGAGAGTACATTCACAACAGCAACAAGGAGAAGACAAACCATGTACCTAAGAACCTGTCAGCAAGGCTGTTGGACTGCAGAGCCAGGGCTGTTCGGAAGCCCTTGCTGTCTGATGGGATGATGGTGGACTGGCAGACAAAAGCTCCCACAAAATTGGAAAAATCTTCTGATTCTGCAACCATGTCCTTCAGAGTAACATCTGTGATGTTGTCAGTGCAAATTGCCATCTTCTTCCCCTGTGGACAATCAGGAAAAAAGGGAGAAGCTGTTGGTCGTTGATAAGGGGTGAAAAAGTTTGGGAAGAGACAGACTGAAAACTTGATGATTGCAAACTGGATGAGATTCATTACTTTACCTTATAACAAGTTGATGTCTCTATGTTTCTGTCATAAGAGGGACAAACCACAACAAACTGTGCCATTGTCAAAGCTCCCATTAAAGCCTTGTACAGACTCAGAAATACAATGTCACCTCTGGCAGGTGCCTTATCAGAAATCTGCACTGTAGAACACTCTCCTTTGTTTATCTTGACAGCACAGTGTTTACTTGAAGAGCATAGTAAAATGGCTTGCAAAGGAAAACCCTATTTCCCTTGCCTTTAAATGATATACTGTAGAATACCTCTTTATTTGGGATTTAATCCAGATAAAATATTTTCAAAGCACAAATACATGAAATCCCTAAACAGATATATAGCCTTCAAGACTGCTTTAATGTCATAAACATTAAAACACAGTGCTAGAATCAGAGAAAGGCAAATTACCAGACTCAGTTTTTCTAACAAAATGTCAAGTACTCACCACCTAATCATATGGTTGGTTGTAATGTAGTACCATTGTAGTAGTTTGGGAAAGTGAAGACCAGATCCACAGAGGAGAGAAAATACCTACATTTGTGGATCTAGCTGTCAGCAGCTCTAATCCAGGTGGCAGTTAAAACACAAAAAGAAGCCTAAAAGTATGCAAAATGCTGTAAAGAAATGTGACTACTCATTTGTCTTAACTCATGCAAATCCTTTGATACATGGCAAAAAGAGTTCAGAACTTCACAGGGCTGAGCATGATTGTTAACTACACATGTTGGCTTTCATGGGACAATGCACAACACTGGTACTGCTCTAAAAGTCCATTTATGTGTGTGACAACATGCTCTGCTTCAGTCCAAGCTCCAGACAGAGCCTGTTTAACTCACAAACTAAACACATTTTTCTGCCACTGTCCAAGGCTGCAAAGTCAGCACTGGGCATCTTGGCCACTGGCAGACATCAGGGTGACCAGAGGCTCTGCATACAACATCTCCAGTGAAGCAATGAGGGATACATATGGAAAGCAGTTGCCCTCTGAAAGACTCAAACTCTTCATTTGAGCTCCTGGGTGGCAGCACACAAAGGTCAGGGTCATGATGCAAGTGACTTAAAGGCAAAGGAAAGAAAAAGCAGGGATGTGATAGGAATTTTCTTCTGAGCTTTATTTATGGCCTGTAAGACAGTATCTCTGCTCTGGAAAATCATTTGGCTGCTCAAAAGTCCTCTTGCACTGCAAAGCCAAATCCAAGGGGAAGTGTTTGCACAGTATTGGTGACAACTCAGCTGACAGAGAGTCTTTGTCCTGTCTCAGTGTTACCCCAGAGCATCAACACAAGCAACAAATTGGTTCATCCTCCCAACGCCCAAGCCCAGCTGAGCTCACCTCGTTCCCACACAGGCTGATGTTAAAGAAGTGGAAGAACTTGGTCCCTCGGGAAGTGAAGCTAGGTCCACTCATCAACGAGCCCACCTGGCTGAGGTTGCTAAAATTGTAATTCAGGCTCTGGTTATCCTTGACATAGGACACCAGGCAATCACTGAAGCAGGCAGAGTGGTCCTGCAAGGCAGAGGCATCCATTAAAGAACAGCTATGGAACAGCAACAAACCATTCACCTTCGAGTTAAAGCACAGGTGCAGACAGGACTGCTTTCCTTGTTAAGGATGAAGGGGAACTCTGTCCTATTCCTGTAACTGATCTTTCCCTTGGGATAATTCCCATTCCCATTTCAGTCCCTTGCAATCACATATCAGGACTAAAATGTTCCCTAAGCCTGGTTTTTCTGTTGTCTGCTGCATTAGCCAAGAGAATGCAATTTCTTGCTTTCTTTTGTTCTGGGTAGTTTTAGGATCCCAATGTTCCAGCTTAAATCCCTGTAAACAGACCAAAACACATCCTTGGTTACATTTGCATTTTGTAAAGGAAACACAGAAACAGCTCAAGAAACAAGGGCAGGATATGAACACAGCAGAAGACAGGCAGAATACACACAAACTGGAGCTGGTTTTCCAGTACCTGTGCAGCTCCTTGAATATGATAAATATTTACTTATGCTTACAGTTCCAAGAGGAACTTGTTACAGGTTTCTAAAGGCCCAGAAACATCATCCAGCTGAGGGAGTCCCTGAGTTTAAAAGAGCAGGCATTGGGATAGCCTTGGTGGAAGTAACGTAGCTACTTGCCCTGTTTGTACACTGTTCACAGTACAGCTTCTTGAAATGAACCTTTTTTGAGCTGAAGTTGTCACTTTTATCTGATTATTTACAAACAGAAGTTAGACTAGTGACACCTTTGGTGGGCGTATTGTTATAGCCATACACCAGTGCTCACAAGGCACATGCCTGTAGGAAAGCACTAGAAGCAGCTCCCTGAGAGCTTCCAGCCCAGCAAACCCTGTCTGCCCATCTCCCAGAAACACTCAGTGAATTAACGTGACCCACGTTGGGTACCACCTGAATTAATGTGGCTTCTGCCAGGCTGTTGAGGTCCACTCCAGCTAGCTATGGACCCTTGCCCACACGATAATTCATAGACAAAAGTAAAAGGTTGAGAAGCACTGTTCTCTACATGGGAAATGTTCTCCTTTATTCCAAGAGACACACCAGGTGGACAAACCCATGGGAGAAAGAGGGCGTTCCCTGGTGGCAGGGGACTTTTATACCCTGGGAAATGGGGACAGAGGGAGAGGTCCACAGCCAATGAGACACCAGTGAGGAGTGGCAAGGGAAGGGGTAACCCAGGAGGGACTACCAGGGGGTACTGAGATGGGTGAGGGAAAGGCCATGGGATGGGGGAAAGGGATAACAAACACGTGATATAACATAAGCTAATCAGTGCAATATAAAGACTACTCTGTGCAAATTTCTAATCACGCAGTGCAAAGCAACAACTAATTAAACTATTTAGTGCAACACAACAGCTCAGGCTCGGTACCTTGGTGCTCTTGCTGCCAGGCCCACATGGGATGCAGGCCTCCGTGCCGTACACCTGGTGGATGGACAGGAAGGTGTTGGCTGGACACTCCTTGCACAGGCTGCTCTCCTTCTCGATGTAGTGTCCTGGAGGACAGGGCACGCAGGACGAGCCCGACTGCTGGGAGCCCAGGGCACAGGCCCGGCAAGAAGAGGCCACTCCATCCACTGCGTTGGTCACCGTGATGGAGTAGATCTTGGCCATGTCATTGATGAACTGCCTGCTCTGGAACGAGAGCCAAGGAAACCACCCTGGTGTCACCACACCGTGGCACTGGGACACCGCCCACATCCCTGATTCAGGGATCAGCTTATCCACGGCCCTGTCCTTCCTCATGGATGGTTTATGCACAGCTGCCTCCCAGGGCTGCTCTGTGGTGAGAGCCACTCATCCCTTATGGGAAACCTGTGAGCTTCAACAGAGGGCTAGAGTTCTACCAGAGAGTGTCCAAAGAAAGCTGTTTTGTAAAGCCCCACACATAAAGAAGTACTTACATCTTGGCCCTCATTTATTCTCTGAAAGGCCCAGGTGAATGTGAAGGAAGCATTTTTGGAGATGATGTGAGTGTAGGATTGTCTTTCTTTACTTTTTTCCCATGATTCCACCACATTGGTATTTTTTCGATTAACATCCTACAAAATGGGCATAATTAAAAACAAAAAAAAAAGGAACAACAAAAAAGTGTGGTCATACTACACTAAGCACTAATATTTTATGATCTAGAGATTAGCATATAAAAAGGACTCCACAACTGCATTTAACGTTTAATAAAGCAAACATACTTATTTTGTTTTGCACGACTGACAAATTTTCAGACTGTTCTAAATTGCCACCAAATCTCCACTCAATTCTCTTTAAGTTAATAGCAGGTTCCTTTAAAGAGCCACTAAATACCAAAAAGAACCAGCTTCCCCTTTCAGTGGAAGGGGCAAGGGAGCCATTGCAGATCCATTTGTCTTCCTCAGCTAGTGGATATTCAAACAAACATCTGTCTGCTGCTCCACTGATCCTCCAGGTCACTTATAGGATCAAGTCTAAATTTCCAAACTGCCCTCTTCCCATTCCTCTGTCCCAGATCTTCATTTGTCACTGGCACTAGACACTAACTCAATGGAACAAGAGACACTGACAATTTCATCACTCAATTTAACAGAGGAAAATTTGGCTCCTTAGTATCCAATCATTACTTTTAGAATAAAAGTAGATACAGATAGCCAGGAATGGTTCACAACTCACGTGTTGGAGGAATTTCACTAGGTCATTCATTAAATCCATCCTGCAAGGGCACTGCAGATACTAAACTAATGCTGTGTTTAATCATAATAAACCAAGTGCAACTAACCACACCTATGCAGAGGTATTAAAGTGACTTGTGGAATACCAGGCTCAGTCCCCAGTCATGGAGCAAGAGGTCTCACTTACTGCCATAAAGTACAGCACACAATCTGCTGAACAGATGGTCTCAAAAATAAAAGTAATCCGTCCCAGTTCTGACCCAGTTGCTCCCGTCACTGATGTTGGAGGTCTGTTTCACAGAGAAGGAACAAAATGTTTATACAGTGCTCTCCAGACAGGCAGCAGTCAATCCTTCAAATTCCTTTTTGTACAGTGAAGCCATCAAAGTCCTGTGACAGAAAACCTGTCCTTGCAGAATGGTGGGAGCCTCTGCACTGATTACCAGGTGCAGCAAGGTCATTTTTTAAGTGTCTGAGTTCTTAATTGTACACGCCCCTACTTATAATGAACACCCAAATTTGACTATATTGGTAGGGAGCCTTATTATTAAAACACATTACATACATCAAGTGATTTACACCAATGTAATTGCATCTGCCTCAGCTGGAAAACAGCAGAGGGAGGGTGAGGTTCATCTTCCACACCTTGCTGGTCTCAACATTCAGCACCTGGTCTGAGCTAGGAGTCTAAGCTCTCTAAGCTCTCTCTTTTGACAGAGACACAAGCACTTCAAGCAGGTATTTCAGCCTGTCTGAGCATGCAGGAGTGGTGGCATTCCCATTCTCCTGCAGTGCCTGCATTTCCCCACTGCCTCCAAAGGAAGCACAGACTGTGGAGGCTGCCTAGAGCCACAGGGCAAAGTAACTTGCTTTTCACTAAAATGCTTTTAGGGCAGGCTCCAGTATCCACCCCATGGCAGGTTTAGCTGGTTACTGTGGAATCATTTAGAAACAGAGGGATAGCAATATCTTTTCTCAGTTTCCAGACAGTTAACTGGCTGCATCTTAGACTGAAGCAAATACTGCTAAAAACCAAGGTCCCACACGCTTGCCTGCCTCAATGAACAAACAGGGGACATGGAAATAAAATTCAAGATTCCTCTTGTCTCTTATTCATTGCATTATTCCACTTCAGAAAGGAAGACTCAGATCATCCCTGGGATAGTGTGAAAGAGGTATAAGAGACAGAAATGACTGAGAAATAGATGAAAAAATATCCCATTCCTTACTTAAATCCTGGGATGTGCAGGCTCAAGATAAGATAGTCATTGTCAGAGCCTCCTGCCCCACTCTGGATGTGATCACCAGCCACCTCCCAACCTTCACAGGACAGAAAAAGAAAAAAAAAAATCAATAAATGGGTGGCAAAAGAAATCTGTGTTACCATAATTTTTAAACAATTCAGTATGTCACTGTATTTTAAAGATATAAACTACAGAACAATATCATGATGATTTGAATGAAGAATTTTAGCAATTGTATGAACCACTGATTTTACGGGCAATTTTCACCTTTCAAATCAGCAAAGCAATTGACATTCCCTGATCTGTGCTGTGCAGCTCAAGGGGGATAATCCATCCAATATCTTTCAGCTTTAAAACAGATGAATCAGGGAATCTGTGTGTTAAATGTTAAGCACATACTTCAGTTCCCCTCTGTTCAACACACATAATTCAAAGCTTGAGTTACATCCGTCTGACAGGGTGGATCAGACTGAGGAAAATCTGTCAAAGAAGGTTGGAGAAGTCCCAAACAGGATCATTTTCACCAGCGAGCTGTGACTGCTCTCTGCTGCAATTTTAGCACATGTGCAGAGAGAAAGCTCCGAGCACTAAAGGAATAAAATTACAGACTGTAATTGAGTTTTCCAAAAGAATTATGCATGACCTCGATGGGCACAGTTATCACAAAGCAGAAAATTAGATAAACAAGGGACAAGACAAAAATGCTTTTTTCAATGGGGATATGAGTGCATCTGTAGATGCATTAAAGCCAGTTTGGGATAGGTCTTTGCTGAGGGAACTTCACACAGGCTGCAGCTCCTGCCCTCCTCTGGTATACAAGAGATTTTTTTATTCCTTTGTGATACTGTGACATTGCTTCCCACACGAAACTTCAAGCCTGGTGCAACTGAAGGAAAGGCAGGAAATGTGCTGTGAGTCATGCAGGCAGGAGCACACCCATTTTGATGGGTGCTCCATTACAACAGCACCCGTGCAGGAGGCAGGGACACGACTCAGGGAGTTGGGCTCACCATTCATCCCATCACACTTGGAGTTGCCAACATTAAAGCAAGATGTCTTCATGTTTCCTGGCAGGATGTTCCACCACTTGTACTCAAACCCAAGAGCTGGTTCAGTCCCAGCAGGGCAGGCTTTGCACTCTAAGGGTGAGAGGACAGAAAAGGATATCACACAGCCAAGGCACGTGTCAAACAGTGCTTTGAAGGACATAGACACCACTTTACTCTCTGGTGAAAGTAATAAGCAAATAAAATAATTTATTTCTTTGTAGTTAAACAGTCAAAGACTTATCAGGACCAGGAGAGTGAAAGTGAGACCAGCATTTTGTAAAGTGTAGATCATAACGTCGTGTTAAGTAATCTGCAACTGCCCCCCTCAAGTCACACTTACTCTTTAATAGATTCAGCTGCAAGTTTGATAAACAAGAGTTCCCACAAAATGCTGTAGGGGACCACTGGGCCAATGCATCTCAGAATGAACAAGCCAGAGTTTAGGCTAGACAATATTGGCAGGGTATTCATCTGACTGGGCTTAAAATGAGGTTTTTGCAGGAAAGAATTTGGCATGGATAGGAGAATGGTTGAGGAGGAATTGCTGACTGGAAAAGTCTGATTCCCCTCTCAGAATCCCTTAAAAAATTCTCAGTATATTTATATCAGCCAAGAAATGCATCCAGAACACAGCAGGTCAACTTAGAGCAGCAATTCCTGATAAGAAAGGACTCAGGAGAGACAACAGATATCCACATTGTGCTCTCCAGTGTTATTTAACAAGTATTTAACACAAAATGAACACTGGTTTAGGATGATGTGTCACTAAACTAAGTCACATGCAAGCAGATGACTGCTTTTGGAGACACACAGAATTTTTTGCAGACTCCTACCCTGTGTCCCATCTGAAAATGTGCCTGGTGGGCAAGGAGTACAGGAAGATGAGGCATTGTTGTAAAAGCCAGGATTGCAGGGTGGACAGTCCTGCCTCTCTCCAGAAGGAGGTAGGGTCAATGCATCAGGGAGATCCTCTCTGCAGATCTTGGGTTCAATCCACTTGTACATGATCTGAGTCTGGAACGAGAAGACACTGAGCTCACACGATGTACCATGAAGTTTTAGGACTAGATGCACCAATGAAGGTCCCCCTTATAAACTAAATTAGGATGTTCCCATCATTTGAGGCCAAAAACAGATCTTGAACACACAGGACAATAAAGGGAAGTGCGGGTAAGGCAACAGAAGTGACTGGGTTCACAGGAGATTCCAAAATATAAGGCTTTAAGGACAAAACAAAAATGTGAAGCTTAAAACAGTTACTATTTAATTAATAAATTTCCTATTTAATTAGTAAATTTAATTTCTCTTTAATTACTAAGTTTCTCCATGCAAGTGGTTCTGAGGAACATCAGATAAACAATTCTAACTGGATATGTAATCTCTGCATTTTATCCACAGTAACAGAAAATATTACTTTTGCTGTATAAAAGCCCTTTATTGGGAAGGCATCTGTTAACATTCTGCATTTTTAATTCATACTGGCCTGTTTTTTGAGAAGTCCTCAATTTCTCTCCTGCCATTTTTCACCTATTGAGAAAATGCCAAAACTATGCAGGAGCTCTCCCCAAGCCCCTCCAATCCCTTGTCATCAATAAGGAGCAGTTTATGAACAATAACTTGAGTCAGTCCATGGTGTTGCCATGATGTGACCTCTTCATCATCACCCTCCTTTGAGGATACAAGTTTCTGTCTTCAGGAGAAGCATTGGGTGGAATGCATCACCCACACAGTTGTGTTTCAAATGTCATCTGACTTTGTGTCTCTCTCTGAAAGGGTTTTACCTCTCAAAATCAAACTCAGCTGAGTTCTACAGCTGAGAAACCCAACTGGAAAGAGTTTAACCTGTCCACAGCTCCCACTCTGGGTACTTCCACCCTTTGGTCCCAGCAATCAGGGACCTTTGAGGCTGGAGGCTCAGGTAAGGGATATTTCACCTTGTGAATTTAATCCAGACCCCCTAGCACCCTGGGTGTTGAGCTTCTTGCACTCAGGGTTAGCCCTCTGGTAACACAGAGCACCTGAAGTATTGATCCCTCTTGAAAAGGTTTCAAAGAATAACCTGGGAGAAGCCTCAGTTCAGGTTTGGGCCCTGGCTCCTGGGAGTTCCCGTGATGCTGAGGCTCTCACTCTCCATCCCTGCCTGTGCTTTGTTGCAGCCATGCCTGTGCCAGGTCATGTTCCCTGGCTGACCCACACCCTGGCTGACCCATGGACACAATGTCCCAGTTTGGCACTGGTCCTGCCTTTTCTCCATGGCCTTGTCTGGCTACTTTGGTTAAATCTGGTCACTGGCACGGGGTCCTCAAGCACTGAGGGACTGCTCCTGCTGCCAGAGTGGCATCTCTTCCTATGGATCAGCCTGACCTTGCTGCTCCTGAACACTTGGAGGATTTTCTGGAGAATCACCCCAGAAATGCTTCAGCAGCATCAGAGTGCACAGTGTTTAAAACAAAAAGGGTCAGGAGCTGGCAAAGCACCTGTGTGGCTGCCCAGAGCCCACACTGCCTGCCACAGGAATCCTACTGCATGTGAGCAGGGAGAGGAGGGTCAGAGAGTGCCTGTGGCTGTGTGGTGAGGGGTTTCTCAGACTGGGGCTGAAGCATTCAACTTGGGATTTTTAAATCAGCAGGTAGATGACAAGTCAAGAGTAAAGTGCATAAAAGTGTCCAGAGGTCCCTTCTACACATGGAGTGAGATAGCAGAAGGGAGACAACAATCTATTTTCAGTGAAAACCTGGCTTATTTTAGCAACCATGGATCAATATGCTGGTCCTTTACAGCCACTGTTCTCCTGTAGATGGCCTGCAGAGCCAGGGCCTCCCATTGAGCTGCATCACATGGAGAGATGGCTGTGGAATACAGCAAACCTGAACCAATTTCCAGACATGCAGAGCAATGAAACCAACCCTGAAAACTCAGCCAGTATCTGTGTGCCTGTGACACCTGCTGCTGTCATTGCAACTGGACAGTGAAGGCTGTCTGCAGAAAAACCCACTTTGCATTTTAATGATATCCATTAGTAAAGGGAAAGGTCAGTGGAAAAGGGTCAATAACAGGAACTTGTTCAGTGTCAGGGAGACTTGGACCACACAGAGCAGTGACAGAACAATCCACAGGAAGCTGCAATTAAAGCTGTACCTGGGGGTTTAGCCATGAACACTGCTGCTAATTTCTTGAGTCATTAGAGACAGTTAACAGAGCTGAAATCAGTGAGTCAAGACCAGGTTGCAGAGCCTGACAGCTCTGGGGCTAAACTTACTGATGCTTCATGATCAAAGCATAGGATATCTCAGCTGCATTTTAGAACTCACCGCTCAGGAGACTCCAAAATACTCAATCCTGCCAGCAAATATTAGGCCAGCAACATACAGGTGTTAGGGAATCTGACTATTTGCAATTACATCTGAGAGATGGGAAAGACATGAAACAGGCCTGACCATGTGTCCACTTCTGTGAGCTTCCTACAGCAGTAAACAGCAGTTTCTTCTCCAAATTCCTCCAAAAATTCCACTTAACTGCTAGGACAAAGCCAGGCTGCTCCACCAGGAGGTCCCTCCATGAGACCAAGTACATCTAAGGTCTTTGGGTGAAACAATGTCCTGAGAGCCCAGGTGATTTGAGGCATCCCATAGGACAAGCACATTACCAGCTAAGCTGACACACATGAACACTCTAGACTATCTATATACCATTATTTTACCTGACCACAGGCAAGAGTTTAACCTGTCCCTGATGCTAAAACCAAGGGACATGACACACTTCATACCAAACACTCCTCCACCTGAAATAGAGATGGTCATATCCAATGCTCCCGGGCCATGGTATCACCTGAATTATGCCTGGGCACTGCAGGGACAGTCATCACAAGCTTAAAGTATGCCAGAAAGATTATTAAAAACTAGAGAGATGGGCTTATGCTGGGACAGTAATTCACCCTGTGTTCAAGCAGTGTGGAAGTATGGAAGCAGCCTAGTGACCCATCAGACCCTTCACAAGTGCAAGGAGCTTATCATCTCACCAAAACACATCCCTCAGGCAGACCCAGACCTGTCAGATACTGACAGAGGGATAAAGGCTGCAGAGAGGGCAGGCAAAGGACAAGCCCAAAGCCACAGATTCTATACTGGAAGCAAAATTGGGAAAGTAATTGGGCAATGGATTCCTAAAAAGAACTAGCTTGCTTTCAAATGCAGAGATAGCAATAAGGTCAGTGAGCTTAAAAATAGTATCAAGCCTTCTACTTACTTTTCCCTCCTTATCACATGGGGTATGTATCTGGAAAAAGTCTTTGCTTGTGCATGGAGGTCGCTCTATGCATGCACTGGATCCCTCCTCTAAAAGAAAAGGTGAGAAACAGGATATTAAACTATCAAATGGTCTCTGGAAACAAATATAACAAGCTTGAAATCTGGAGGTTAAAATGAGTCAGCAGAAAATTATAAAACAAAAATGAAAGATCAAGCTCTTAATGGTGTCAGCATGAGCCTTCCCATGAAATGAAGCAGGGGAACAGGAGAAATACTAGCTGTGCTTATACTGTCACACTGAAATTCACTGATGCATGTTTCAGTATGGTCCCAGTTCCCCTGAATCAGTATATGCAGGGACAATTATTAGGAAGACGTTTTTTACTCTGAGGATGGTGAGACACTGGAATAGGTCACCCAGAAAAGTTGTGAATATCCCATCTCTGGAAACAGTTAAGGCCTGGTTGGATAGGGCTTTGAGCAAGCTGGTCTAGTGGAAAATTCCCTGCCCATGGCACAGGGGGTGAAACAAGATGATTTCTAAGGTCCTTTCCAAGCCAAACCACTTTATGATTCCACCAAACAAAAATTTGTACGTTTAGCAAGCATGGAAATATTTTCTCACTTGATAAGGAACAAAACCACTCTAATCCTGTAGAAAGTTCCTTACAATTTTTTCTCTTGCCAGACAATTTTGCGATATTTCCATTCCCACTGTGATCAGAGGCACAGGTCCCCAAGCATTTACAATCATGGGTAATAGCAGGTGCTATGGTCAGTAACTGATTCTTCAAGAATTTTCTAAAACTACTACAAGGAAGAACTCTGAAGACCTTTTGACTATGAAGAATAGATTAAGATCATGTCATTTGAAGATCACCACCTCACCATAGCTGGAAACACAGAGGACTTTGGGACTAGGTTTTGCAACTAGATCACCCCATTCTCCAACCCCACAGGAGGCAGGGGCAGGCCAGGAGAGAGCGTTTGGAAAGGACACTCCTGAAAACATGTTAAGGCTGAAGGCAGTGATGAAGAAAATTCGTGTCATTGCCATCCTATAACACAAATTACCAGGAGAGGGCACAGCATGACTGCTCTATCCTTCAGAAGAACTATCCCCTTCCTGGTCATAAAGGTCTCCATCCCTTCATGTTAACACTGATGACACTAACAACATTTGACTGTGGCCCATTACGTATCTATGTGCCCTCTGCACACTTTGGGAAGTCAATAATTTCCCCTTTACATATCAGCTGGAGACTCTCATTGCTGGATGCAGCCGCGCTCACATCTGAACAGCTGCTGACTGCACATACTCCGACCTTCCTGGTTCTGCTTGTCCCACTTGGTTTATGTACCTGCATAATACATTTCTTCTTCACACTTGGTGCACTCTTTAGCCCCTTTCTCAGAATAAGTGTCTCGTGGGCACACCTGGCAGCCAGATGCACCTGGTTTGTCGCTGAAGGTACCGGGCTTGCACGCGAAGCATTCAGACGTGTACGCAACTCCTGTAAGAAAAATTCTGGATAAAGCACTGAAAGAGACCCATCTGTAACTGCTGCTTACCTGGGCTTATGGCTGAGAGCAAACCAGCTGTATAAAACAGTATAAAACCACACTCAGTTTCACCACTCACTTAAGACACTGGCTTTGCTGACTTTTAGGTCTTTAATGTTTATACCTCAATTAAAGTCTGACCCATCTAAGAACCTTATATGACACTCCCAGTTTTATTACACTTAGACCAGGACCAAAAGAGCAATTACATATAAAACAGATCATTTGAATATAAATTCAACTGTCACTGTTATGACATATATCAATTTATCCCTGTTGAGAGGCTTACCAATAACCACAGTCTTTCTATTCTATAATAAAGAAAACCTGGTTATTAATTTTTCTCTATTTGCTAATCCAGTCTTCTCCAGCAGATGGCAACATTTTCCAGATAAACTAATTTTTCAGCCTTTCCTCACTGAACTTTTGCTGTTCTGTTTCTACTCTTCAGAGGAGGAGAGAGGGGACAAGGGGTTAAAAAAAGCCACTTCATTGCGGTAGGCACAGCAGTAGAAATAGCACTTGACAAACACTGTGATAAAAGAGATAAAACCTCAAAGACAAATTCTACTTACCTTCAATTGTGATGTTCTTCACTAAAACTGGTTTTACAACTTTGGCGCCCATGAGAATCCCTGTTGTTCTCCAGTATAATATATTGCTACCTGATTTTAGAGTTACCTGCAACAACACATGTGAGTTAGCAAACATCCCCTTGCCAAGACACTGTTTTATTTCCTACTTCCATTCAAATTTCTTGCATCCTAGTAGCTTTTACTGTGCTGTTTAGTGGGTCAAGAGGTAATGTAAAACAATAGACAGATGCTGTACAGACATATCTGAGGAGTGCCAAAATGTGCTTTATGAAAATGTTTCTCAACACCCCAGTTGGAAAAACACCAAGAGCTGTTTCTGACCTTGTTGTAAGCAGAATTTGGAAAAAGCTGTTCCTGTCTTTATCCAATTATCCCTGGCACTCAGAAGCTTTTATCTCCAGCCTTATGTTCTGATATAGTCAATCAGTTTGTTTTTAAAGCCTTGAGATACCTTTTTATAAAGAAACTCAACATGACCCAGAGTTTGAAAATCCAGTTCACAAGCAAGTTTTGATTATAGCTTTTAAAAAACAAGCTCTGTCTGCATGTAACAGTATCGTGACCAGTAAGGCAGGCACAAACCCTGGCTATCTCCAGCAGCAGTCTCATCCCTCCTGCTCACTTCTGACTGCAAATAGCAAATGAGATGCAGAAAACAACCTGTTTTCTCACTGCCCTGACCCACTTGTTTTCATGGCGTGGTGCAGCAAGTGACTGCACACCCCCTGTGGAAGGGTGGTGGGTTGGTGGCATCATGGCTGAGGTAAAGGGCAGTAGGAAGGCAGGAAAACTCCTCCAGCAGCAGTTTTGGTGCCTTCTGCCTTCAACTCATTTGCCTAACTACTGTATCACTCTCATCACTAAAAGCAGCAGGTTCACCAAGCCCTTGCCTAGCCTGCAAAACTGTTCCATATCTTCTAGCTCAGCATAAGATGCTTAGTGCCAACACAGGATAATGGCCTGAAAGTGCTATATTTTCACCCAAGAGAAGGGACAAACTCTACCAGCATAAGGGTCCAGGATAATGTGATTTACAGCAGGCCTGCAGGACCACAGTTTTTGTTCACCCAGGATAAGGAGTTGAAAAATTTAGGAAAGTGGAATTACAGCATATTGTATCTGCCACACCCAAACATCTGCTGCCCATAGGGGCAAAGGAGAGCTGAGCTATCACGTGTAACAGGAGAGCTGGGACCATACTGAAACAGGCATCAGGTTGTGCGAGGTGAGGTGAGGTACCCACCACCAGCTCCAGTGCAGCAGGACCCACCTGCTGAGAGCAGACACTGCAGCACCTGGAAAATTGTGCTCACAGAAACACCTTGACAGCATTTGCATAAAAGGCTCTTCAGGACAGCCAGCATCATCACCTCACCAACTCCTATGTCTACATTTCAGCCAGCCACCCCAACTTCCATAGACAGTGAGAACACTTGCACACCCCAGATGACAAGTTCAGATGGCACCATCTCCCATGCAGACTGCCTGCATCCCTCAGCTTACCCAAGTCAATGCCCTGGCCTTGGATTTACCTCTCAGTCATGCCACTCATCCCTCCTCAGCCAACATTCCAGCCTCCCAGTGTAACCTGCACTGGTCTTGCACCTGACCTAACAGGCACTCCAACCAGAGCTGGCTCAGGAATACAGTTTGTCCTCTAGGAGGGAAAGCACACCATGGAAAACAGAGAGTGTGCTGCTGCCTATGCACACAAAAGCCTTTTTCTTCTGGCATAATGTCCCCTATGCTGGGCCTTTGCTGATAGGGCTCTGGGGACAAGGGTGTGATGGTGTCGTGGAAGCCAGGCCTCATCTGGTGAGCTGGTCTGCACATGATCCTGTGAACATGATGCTCACAGGGCAAACTCAGCCAGCTGGGTCACGGGCCAGCCACAGGGCTCCTGCCCCCAGCATGGACAGGCTCATATCCCTGCTGCAGGAGCCACCCTGGTGCTGCCAGCTGGTTTTCACACAAGCCCCCATGGAGCAGAAGTTGGGTGCAGTCCAGCTCTTCTGCACACACTTGAGAATGAAATGCCCATCCTGCTTGTCTCCACGTACACACCCCACTGTTCTGCCAAGACACAGAGAATAATCTTGTGTTCTCATGAGCAAACAACTGCTGTACAAGATTCCAATTACAATCACGCAGAGTGATTGTGGCATGCAATTTGCATAAATCTATTTAACCTCATGAAACACTTAATTCAAATCCCAGGGAAATCAATACAAAGTCTTGCATCTATATAATTTCCTTCGGGATCAGCCCCTTAGGGATCTCCATGACTTTTCCCCTCAGTACTAGGAAAGTTCTGCTTCTTCAAATGCATTCACAGGAGCTGCCCATTTTTGGTATCTGGACAGAGGAAATTACAGACATTTATAAATGGAAAAAAAACTTAATGAAGGAACTTTTCACGCACTTACAGAATGAGAGCCCCATTCCCCATTGTCTGTGAGCTTCACCCATTTGTCTGCTGTGGACTCCATTTCTTTACACTGGTCATTTTGTATCTGTTAATAAAAACACAAGGTCAGTGACTACAATCAGGTGCATCTCTCTGTCAGCATAATGGTTCCTGGGAATTTTAAGATTCACCTCTGTTCCTCTTGTCTACATACCTAGACAGTTGCCTTACTTGTGGCAAAATAAACCCCCAACTTTCAACATCTGCTGCAGCTTAACAGTGCCTCCACCAGCCCCCTCTGACACAGATGGTTAAAAATGAGCAGGATGAGATGATCTCAGGCTTGTCCTCATGCTATATGGGCAGAGAAGGATGCTGAGCATATTGCATTGCTGCTTCCTCCTTCTCCTGAGCCTACCAAGACCTAATTCTCTAAAATCCAGAGGCTTCCAAGTCACAGGGGAAGCAGGAGTGGATGGGCCAGAGCTGGAATACAAAGTGTTTTCTCTGCAGCCAATATATGCTTTGCCTTTGGCCTGCTGCCACCTGACCTAGGGAGGAGAGTAAAGCTATCAAGGCAGAGGCAACATGCCAGGGAGAGTCTGTCTTGACAGAAGCAGCAGGTTGGCTATCTTTGCCCAGGTCCCGGGCAGCTCAGAAGCATTTCCTTACAGCTGAGGTTGGTGCACTTCTTTCTTCCTATACCTATACCTTCCTATACCTTCCTATAAAGTATGAAGTGCCTTTGAGGCACGAGATCACATACTGAGCTTTTATTGCACCAGGAAGAAAGGTCACTTCAACACTTCCAGACACTTGACCTGGAGTCAAGGATCCTCCTTAAAGTTGTTCCAAATCAAATCTGAAATAAGTTGTGCAACTCCACATCCTCCAAAGCATCTATACACTCAGTTCCCACCTAGACCAACTGCATTAAGGAGAAGAGGTATGAAGAAGCACCTGTGTAGAAGGTAGATCCCTAATTATCTTGTGCAACCTGAGCTACAGCACCCTTTTGTCTTGGTTCCCACCTGCAAAGAGGAGGTAGGAATATATAGCCGCTTCTCATCAAGTGTAAAGGGCTTCAATATGCAAACAGAGCCAAGAAAGGGCAGATAAAACACCTCACCATTTCTCAGTAACCTGCCCCTGCCACTGAAATTCCACTTTCCAGAGCTAATGTGTCATTATTAAATATATGGAAGCACAAAGGCATGCTGGAGGAAAAAAAAAAAGACTTTTACAGGAGATTTAAATATGGCTTCCCTGAAATACTGAGGCTGCCTAGGAATTTATGGGCATTTCTATAAAGGGCTGCAGCACTCATTGCTTCTTGAAAAGGGGATGATAAATTCACAGAAGGCGAATGAGTGGGATATGGATAAAAGCAATAACCAAGAAGCCATTTTCAAAGCCAGTGCTCAGAGACTATATATTTGCTCTGTTGCAGGAGCAGATCTGCCAGTCAGTCAAGCAACTGGAGCTGGGATTCATAATCCTGGCACACTCACCTGACAGCAGAAAGCATTGTTGCTGCTTTCTTCCCATGAAGAAGGCAGAGTAGTCTAACACAAAACAGAAATGGCTAAATAACACTGTTACCCAAGTGCAGTAGCAATCTATCCCACTGATGTAGCAGCATGAAGGTACCTCCAACAGGTAATTTTTGTCTTCCCTTTTTGGCTCTACTAAAGACAAGGATACTTTGCACTTTTTCCCAAACTTCAATAGATATTAACCAACACTGGCTAAGACTTCTCACTCCTGTGAGGTGCCATGAGCTGTGTCTTTCTGATGAGAAACAGAGCTTGTCAGACAGATAAAAGGGCAGTAACAGAGGAGACTGAAAATTTCCAGTCATCTGCCTCTCTGAGTCACCCTCCCATTACATTTTTTTATGTCCCAAATGGCAGGTACAACATGACAAGGACAGTGGAAACTTCCAAAGCACCTCAGAAATGTGGGGCATTTACACCCCACTGCAAATCCTAGTGCTGGGAGTCCTCCAGCTCACTGGACAGCAGCCAGTCCATCCAGGGGGGCAGAGAAGGGTTGCCTTCCCCATTCTGGTCACTGCTGACCAGAGAGTTTCAGCAATTTGAGCACACCATGGTGCAATCCCAGCCAGGCTGTTCCCAATGATCCCCAGCCCCTCCATTTTGCAGCACAGGCACATCCTCAGAGACTAATTCCTACTGAAAGTCACCTGAATTTCTCCTGCTTTTCTTTTCCTCTTAACTACTAAATTACTAGGACACAAACTGACCTGAAACTAAAGGTTTCCACATAGTACTACCTGGAAGAAGTCTTTTTAAATGTCAAATCCCTTCAAAGACCTCTCCAGTCAGACACCCCTAAATAAGAGCATCTACCACCAACACCTGTCTTGCAAAAGGCTGGACGAAATGGGGCAGTCATGACCCCTAATGGCAAAATCCCAGTCCATGGCAGACAGGATCAGTTCAGACTGAGTTTTGAAGATTAAATAAATGCCACAAGACAGTATAAGTGACAGAAAAAGAAGCAGAACTTTTTTATATTGTTCAGCAATAACAAACTATGGGCATGCAGGGAACTTAAAGGGGGAAAGCTGCTGCTAATGATCTGGGGTGAATTCTTACAATATAAGGTTGGATTCACCATTTAAAAGGCCTTACAAAAAATTCAAAGAAGATGTTGTTGTCAATATACTGGTATTCAAAGAAGACAGAGCCGGATTTCTTCAGGTGCACAGCATAGATGAGAGAAACTGTACAGTCATCCCTGTTTGACTCTATGTAATTCCCTCGAGGCGTCCATGAAGAGCTGATGAACATAAACAAAACAAGCCTCAGCTGAGATCACAGATACTGAGGAGACTTTTTGTACACTACTACACAACAACATGTTACATAATAAAGACCCCAGAATCCCAAAACGGCTAACTGCATGCAGTGAATTTTTGAATTTATTACAGGATCTCCATTTATTTTTCAGACACAGTAAATATATATTTATATATATATATAATTTTATAGCTATTTTTATATGTTACATGAATAATATAAAATATAATACTTTTCACTGAAACTGTGCATGGGAAAGGACATGGTATGAAAAATTTAGGACTCAGCCTATATAAGAAAGGTTTATTATCCACAGGTTCAATATACCTTCAATTACACTCAGAAACAGCCTTTTGCAAGCACCACAGGTCTCTAAACAGGCTATAAAAGGACCTTTTAGCCACATTCACTATACCATGACCCTGGAGCTTTCCAGCTACAAATAAGAGCAGCTCCAGACTGGTCTTAAACTCACTAGCTGCTGATGAGCCCAGGGAGACCATGCTGACAGCAGAGAGATGAGGCTACAGATTTCACCTCCCAGCCACTCCTGTCTGCCACGAGCAGGGCTGGCTACCCTCTGCACAGCTCAAATAAGTCATTAAGCAGCTTTGTGCTGCTGAGCTGTCCCAGGTTCACCCACAGCTGCCCAGGCCAGGTGCAAGCAGAGCTCCTCACTTGTTGCAGCTGTCGGCTTTACCCTTGGATGAGCCCAGCGCCGTGTCCATGAAAGTCGCCACGTTGGAGAATCCTGCTGGCAGCTCATCCCACTCATCAAACTTGATCCCGCTGCCCAGGGAGTAGGTCCCCTCTGCACATTTGCTGCACACCTGGTTCTTCATCTCCAGGTACTCACCAGAGGCACAGGAGAAAGCTGGGGATACAATAATTTACAACATAGGAATTAATTAATCAATCCTTATTAATTTCCTTTTTTTTCTTTCTGCCATTTAATTAATTAAGATTGAACTGCCACTAAAGGGAACCAAACAGAATGTCCCAGTCCCAGGAACACAACAGCAGAACTACCAACAACAGCTGCAAAATTGAGATATTCACCTGGGTTTTCACTGACGTGGCAGCACTGAAACCAAACCCCAGTGACAGCTCCTGATTTGCAGCTCGCCTCCATTGGCAAAAAAAGATTTTCAGAAACAAAATCTCTATTGTGTCCAAAAGCAATTTGTGAAAATGAGGATTTATAATAGAGTTCTCCTGACCCTTGCTCACCCAGCTGTTACACCTTGAACTCAATTAAAACCACCAGTACTTGAGAGCCAGAACAGACTTTTCTCACTCACCTAAGCTAAGGAGGGCACACAGCAGCAGGCTGGCAGTCATATAACACTACAAACCTTGGCTGAGAGTAGCAGACCTAATCCAAAGGCCTCCCTGTCTTTCTCCTCACGTGAACCACCTACAAAGCCTCAAACATCTTGCCTGATAGACCATGTGGTCTTGGAAAAGATCACCCACAGGTTTGTGACTAGAAGATGAGGATCTTTGATTAGGGTGACATTAACATGCTGAGAAAATAACCACTGGTTGTCAGCACAGCAAAGACATTATTCAAAATCTGTGTAATTAAGGGAAGTACAATTAGGAGGTATATTCACAAAGTGATTTTTTTTTCCTGATGTCTCTAAAATTATTTCCTCCAAACAGGTGTATGCTGCTTTTCCCCCTGATCATATCTCTGCCTCCTAAGGGAAGATTATTTCCATTATGAAACAGAAACCTGGACAGCAGCTGAAGTCCTGTGTGCCCACAGAACCCCATGCCTGTGTCAGGAATCGTAATTCCTGCCTGGACACTCAATGGCAGGCCATCCCACTTTCCCTCAGTACCGTGCTGCATCCTGTCCTCTTTGAGACTGAACATCCTGAATGGAAAACAAATGAGCACTTTCTGCAGCCCATAGTACTTCCTACAATGTTTGCAGGTTTTTTTAACTACGCCAGCCAAGCCAAAGCAGGATCCAGAGCAATGCACACAACTCACATCCCAAGAAATGATGGGATTTTCTTCTGTTTCACACATGCCACATTGCACAGTGTCAGATCTTTCATACACTTTCTTTGACAGACATAAACTCATTAGCCTGAGAAACTGCAGGATGAGACCAGACTGGCAGCCAAAGTGGTGAAACTGGCCCAAAACAATGACGTCGGCTGAAGTCCCAGAAAATGTGGTTCCACAGATGTGCCAGTGTTTATCTAAACTGCAGAAAAACTTGCTTTATTGTAAGCACTTTGATTAACTCATGGCTGCATAACATAAATCTCCATCTGAACCCAACTAACAGTTCTGGCTCCCTTTTCTGTCCCAGTACCAGCAGGATTTCTTTCTGTAATTGTCCTTGATGTGTGCCACTGGAAAGCAGATTAAAGGTCTATTTTGATGGAATGATCTGCCAAAGGGTCATTTTTCCTTCTTGGTCATATCAGCATCCTCTGAATTTGAACCAGTGGCCTTCAAAACCAACAGATTTCTAACCCTGTTGCTCACTGGTGATGGATCAAGAAAGAAAGTGGGCAGGATCCAGGGAGAGATGGGTGTGGGAAAAAACAAGGAAATCCTTCCATGATGGATTTCTGTGAAAGACTGACAGACAGACAAAAAATCCACCCTCAGTGAGGGCAAGTGGTTCACTATAAGCAGTGGCACACGAGGTAGAGCTAACACCACACCTGACTGACTGTGTGACCTCAGCTCAAGCCACAGGATCTCCCTGCACCTGGGCTGGGAAACAGCTTTCTCCAGAGATTTGGGCAAAAGCAGTGAACACATCCCTGTGTGTCTGAACTGTGACCACACTTTGTACAGCTTTTCACCTTAGATGTATAAAGATGTCCTGACTCACTGCTTTAGCATTATTAATGAATCTTGCTTTATTTTTTCCTTTTGAAGGATGCAGAGGCAAGCTATCAGGAAGGGAAGCAGAAAAGTAAGCTCTCTCATGACATCTTTGAATTCTTTAACAGTTTCAACTTTTTTTTTTCTTTAAATAAAGCTAAATAGCAAGAAATTGAGAGTGCTGCTTAACCATTCCAGAATTGTGAAATTCAACTAAGGAGTCAAGAACCGTGAGCAATTCACTGCCATAATGAAGATTCTGAGAGCAGCAGAGCCTCCTCTTCCATCACAGTGAGGCTGAGCAGAGATTTTTACTCTAGCTGAACTAATATATTTTAACCCCTTGCAAACTGATCATTTGAGAGAAATAAAACAGTACAGGAGATCAGCCCAGCTGCCGTGCAGGACACATCATCCATCTCTCACCTTCCAGGAAAGAGGTGAGCCTTTCTCTTATTTAGGTGGGGAATTACCTTCTTTCCTTATAAGAATTGTATTTAAAGGGCAGCAGCCTTTCCCATCAAAACACATCTTCCTTCAAGCAAACTGGCTCTGAGCATGCCAGCTGCTTGCCAGGTTCAATTTGGGGCTGAATGTGGCTAATGGCAACATGAACCACTTTCAACATTGGAACAGATGCAACATTTGGTCTCCTTCCAGCTGGAGAAGGGTGGGGAGGAAATACAGTGTGTGGTGAGCATGAAGATGGAATCCTCTCCTAGAGTCCCACAATTCAGTCTTCCATCAGGGGGGTGACCAAAAGCCAGGGCAAACTGGCTTTAGTCTAAATTGCATCAGTTCAAGAGTTCATCCCAGCTGGAGATAGGGAGATCAGCCACTTGAGGAGGGACAGAGCACAGACAGCTGATCCATGCCAGGGCATCCCAGGAGCTTCTCCTTCCTCTGGCTGCTCCATATCACTAAGACATAGCTGAGCACAGATGCAGCACTTCCCAGAAGCCACAGAAACAGCTGGAATTATTGCAGCATCACCATGTTTGTGAGGGTGACACACATGAGATGCTGCCAACAAGAAGGGCTGCATCAAAACTTAGGAAGTTAAGGAGTGATGCAAAGTTTTGGGAACATAAATTCTGCATTTTAGGAGTGTGCTCTGATTTGTCCTCAACTAAACTTTCCCTCTTCAGAATCCAGAGGAAAAATTAGTCTTCCACATTAGAGGAAGATTCTGTGAACACCCCTGACCCCAGAGTCCATTTGTTTAGGTATTTGATACTTAATTTTCAGAGAAACTGTCTCCACTGAATAACTGGACATCACTGTTTTCTGTCCCTCTCTAACTGCAAACTTTACTATTACACCTCTCAAATATCAGTTTGGGTGCTACACACCAACTTACACAGAGAAAAGCACATTGCGAAGACTGAATGTGATCTTTCTTTCTGAGAACAACACTGTGAAATGCATGAAAAGATTTCATGACTTGCCCCACCAGGGGCATTTTTAAAATTGGAAGAATATTTCAGAGGCAGTTAGGAACAGTGTGACACACTGTGGTGTGAGACACACTGCTGCCTTTGGAGCTGATACAATTATTGGTGATTCACAGCTATAGCTTTGCCAAATAACAACAGAAGGGAAAAAAAATGTTGTCGTTTGTACAGGCGACTAGTCTTTCCCACAAAAAGATGCTGTAAAATACTGTTTAACTAGATATTGCCACAGGCAGCCACACACATTCCTACACACATGCAATAAACCTGACAGCATATGCACTTAATAAAAAATTGACATGAGATTCAGTACTAATAGCCACCACTGTAAAAGTCTTGCCAAACAGACCTCATTTCATTCTGTAAAAGGATTACAACTCACTTGATAAAGGTGATGGAGTGGATGTCACAGACTGAGGGTTCCTAATTCAGTTGGCTTAGTTTTGCATGTCACTCTGATGAAGAAAGGTGGTGCTGCACAACACCAGCAGGGGACACCTTGAAGGGATTGAAAACTGCCCTTAAAGGGATTGAGAACCTCAGATGGGGCTGTCAATGACAAACCACCCCTGAGCAGGGAGGAAGGGGGCAGCTCTGCCTGCCCCGGACTGAGGCTGATTTTTCTCATTGATCTCAATGAGTCATTTTTCTCAATGATCTTCAGGCAAAAAGAAAAGGAATGGTATGAAGATTAGCAGGGGAGAGACTGTTACCAAGCCCGAGCCCACTCAGTGTGCTTCAGCAGAGTCAGAGGTAAAGACAAGCTGCTGAGAGCAGGGAGTGCCAGCCCTGCCTGCAGAGGGCTGAAATGTATCCCAGAGAGCAGCAAGCTGAGGATGAGAGCAGACCCACCATTCATCAAGAGCTTCCACTGTCAAGGCATCCAAAAAAGTCACTAGTGAGATCTGGATAAATTTAGAGGTGCAGGGAGAGATATGTAGGATGAAATGTGTATTACAGGGAAGAAGATTGTTATAATGCTGCATATAGATGTGATCTGGCATATTTATGAGGTCAGTACAAAACAAAAGGACTTCAAATGGTTTTAAAATTAGAGGTAATGTCCTGCAGTAAAGGATCTGAAGTGCTTAATCTACGTAGTTCATCACAAGAAGATTGAGAGTCAACTTGATTAATATGTAAGCATCTCCAGGGGGAGAAAACACAAGATCCTGCTGCACTTTTTAATCAAGCAGACAAATGCATAAGAAGAGCTACCTTCTGGAAGCTGAACCCAAACAAACTCAAATTGGAAATAACGCACAGATTTTTAATAGGAGGCACAACTGATTGCTGGAACAATCTGTCATGGCATGTGATGGACCCTTTGTCTATCAAGTGTTTCATGCCATAACTGGATACCATATGGAAGAAAAGCTCATGCCAAATACCTATTATCAGCCCCACCACCAGCCCAGCTGGGTGTATTTCAATGGTCTGTGAGGTCAAACCAACAAATCTAATTAAACCCCTTACTCTTAAACTCTGAGTGAAGATCAGTGGTGCCCTGCCATGAGTCCACACCATGAGGACTGGGGCATCCTGAAGCAGGAGCCCTGCCCAC